CCCTCCCTCCCTCCCTCTCTCCCTCCCTCCCCCCCTCTCTTTTTCTCTCTCTCTCTTTGGCTTTTACTCTGTGATAAGGTTTCTCCATGCTGGTAATAATTCTGTAGACCAGGCTAGCCCCAAACCCACAGAGATCTGTCTGCCTGGAGTGCTGAGATTAAAGGTGTTTGCCACCACTTTCTGGCTTCTATGATTTCCATATGACATCATTCTCATTGAAGTAGTGAGTGGGGAGTTTGACTGTATAAAACCAAGTATAGGACAGAAGGATTCCTGTGATGTTTCCCACATCCTTATGGAAGACATCATACATACTTTCATTTAAGCAACTGGAGTTTAAGACAAGCTCAACAACTGCTGTAGATAAGGAAGAAATGTGATGTGTGCCCTGAATTTTGCCATCACTGTAAAATTAGGATCCAATATCAAATGATATATGTTTGGCTGGGTAGAGATCATGAGTCAGTGATATGATTGGTTCATGGTTGGTTGTTGTGGTTATTATTATTGTTTTTCCTTCTTTTTTAGTTGTTTTTTTTTTTTTTTTTTTTTTTAGCTTCTGAATCTCACTGTTTAGGGAGATTGTTCTGATAATAAGATACAGTATACCTGAAATTCCCATTGCTAGAGTTCTGGTGATAGGCTCTTCAGTTTTTATTGAATCTCATAACCACTAGTACATGATTCAGTTCAAATATATCCTTAGCCTTTTCCATAATCATGGAAATGTATTTGGAGGTATAGTTCAAAGAATTTTTTCAATGATGAATGGCTTCATTTTGCAGAAAATAGAGTCAAAAGACATTTTAAAACTGTTTTTGTAGTCATATCTTAATTTCTCTCCCCTCTCTAGGTACTTGAGACATGACGGCTGTTGTCTTCATAGCCTTCCTGTATTTGGGAGTGGCCTCATGTGCTCCAGTACTTGATCCCAGTTTGGATGCTGAATGGCAAGAGTGGAAGATAAAATATGACAAATCATATAGCCTGGTTAGTAACCTGAAAACTGTCCAGAAGGGCCTACGAATGGCCATTGTTGCTGCAAGTGGCAAAGCACATTGGAGGTCCCATATCTACACCCCATACTACCACCATTAAGAGCTTATCTAATCACAATCACTGTGAGGACAGAGTGTCCAGATTCCCTTTGGTAAATGTCTGGATATAATGTTCTGGATCCCTCTCCATGGCCTCTACTCACCTGCAGCAGCAAGTCCACAAGGTCAGATTGTGAAGGAGTTTAATCCAAAAGAAATAATATTTGTTACATTCATTTCTAGGAGGAGGAAGAACTGAGGAGAGTGGTTTGGGAAGAAAATCTGAAAACAATCAAACTCCACAATGGGGAGAATGGCCTGGGTAAGAATGGCTTCACCATGGAAATAAATGAATTTGGTGACATGGTGAGTACAACATGGATTGCTTCACAATGTATTCTTGTTAGTACTTGATAAGATGGTTTTCTTTTATAACCATTATATACTTTTCCTTGGAGACTGATGAAGAATTCAGGAAAATGATGATTGAAATACCAGTTCAGACTCACAGAGAGGGAAAAAGTATTATGAAACGTGCAGTTGGAAGTAATTTCCCCAAATTTGTGGATTGGCGAAAGAAAGGCTATGTGACTCCTGTGAGGAGACAGGTATGGCAGTGTCACATTCCATCTTCTTTTTTAAAATTTATTATCTATTTTATTATTCTTTTTTCTTTTACACTCCAGATTTTATTCCCCTCCAGGTCCACCCTTCTACAGTTCCACATCCCATTCCTAATCCCTGCCCACAGTCCCCCAGCTCCACTAGGATGTTTTCCCAATCCCCACCCCACCAGACCTTTAAATGCCTTGAGTCCTCCAGTCTCTTGAGGGTTAGGCGCATATTCTGTGACTGAACCCAGACCCAGCTATCCTCTGCAATATGTGTTGGGGGCATCATATCAACTGGTGTGTGTTACCTGGTTGATGATCCAGTGTCTGAGAGACCTAGGGGTCCATGTTAATTGAGACTGCTGGTCTTCTTACAGGGTCACCCTCCTCTTCAGCTTCTTCCAGATTTCCCCTAATTCAACCACAAGGGTCAGCAGCTTCAATCCATTGGTTGGGTGGAAATATCTGCATTTGACTCTTTCAGATGCTTGTTGGGTCTTTCTGAGGGCAGTCATGGTAGGTCCCTTTTTGTGAGCACTCCATAGCCTGAGTAATAGTGTTAGGTCTTGGGACCTCCCCTTGAGCTGTATCTCACTTTGGTCCTGTTGCTGGACCTTCTTTTTCTCAGGCTCTTCTCCATCCCTGCAGTTCTTTCAAACAGGAACAATTATGGGTCAGAGTTTTGACTGTGGGATAGCAATTCCATCCTTCACATGATGCCTTCTTTCTGCTGGAAGTGGGCTCTACAAGTTCCCTCTCCCCACTATAGGGCATTTCATCTAGGGTCCCTCCCTTTGAGTCCTGATAGTCTCACACCTCCCAAGTCTCTGGTACATACTGGAGGTTCCCTCAAACCTCCTACCTTCTGAGGTTGCCAATTTCCATTATTTCTGCTGGCCCTCGGGGCTTCAGTCCTTTTCCCCTACCCAATACCAGATCATGTTCCCCCTCCCCCTCCCCTGTTCTCTTTCTCTCGCAGGTTCCTCTCTCCCTCCCTGCTTGTAGTTCCTTTCTTCTCTTTCCCAAGTGGGACTGAGGCATCCTCACTTAGACCCTTCAGGTTGTTGAACTTTTGAGTTCTGTCGACTGTATCTTAGGTATTTGGTACTTTTAATTTTTGGCTAATATCCACTTATTAGTGAGTACATACCATGCATGTCCATTTGTGTCTGAGTTACCTCACTCAGGATGATATTTTCAAGTTCCACTCATTTGCCTGCAAAACTCAGGATGTCCGTGTTTTTAATAGCTGAGTAGTATTCCATTGTGTAAATGAACCACATTTTGTGTATCCATTCTTCTGTCATGGGACATCTAGGTTGTTTCCAGCTTCTGGCTATCACAAATAAGACCACTATAAATATAGTGGAACATGTGCCCCTCTGGCATGGTGAGGCAACTTTTGAGTATAGATTCCCTAGAGTTGCATTGCTGGGTCTTCAGGTAGGTCTATTTCCAATTTTATAAGGAACCTCCAGATTGATTTCCAGAGTGGTTGAACCAGTTTGCAATCCCACCAGCAATGGAGGAGTGTTCCTCTTTCTCCACTTCCTCACCAATATATGTTGTCACCTGAGTTTTTGAGTTTTTGATCTTTGCCATTCTGATTTCCATTCTAAAGTAGAATCTCAGGGTCGTTTTGATTTGGATTTCTCTGATCACTAAGGACTTTGAACATTTCTTTAGGTGCTTCTTAGCCATTTGAGACTCCACTATTGTGAATTCTTGGTTTAGTTCTATACCCCATTTTTTATTGGGTTATTTGGTTTGCTGGTGGTTAGCTTCTTGAGTTTGTTATATATTTTGGATAGTAGCTCTCTATCAGATGAGGGCTTAGTGAAGATTTTTCCCCATCTGTAGGTTGCCAATTTGCCTATTGATTATTTTCTTTGTCTTACAAAAGTTTTCCAGTTTCATAAGGTCTCATTTTTCAATTCTTGACCTTAGATCATGAATCACTGGAGTCCTGTTTAGGAAACTTCCCCTGTGTCAATGAGTTCAAGGCTCTTTCCCAATTTCTCTTCTATTAGACTTAGTGTATCTGGTTTTATCTTGAGGTCCTTGATCCACTTGGAGTTAAACTTTGTGCAAGGTGACAAATATGGATCTATTTTCATTTTTATACATACGGACAGCCAGTTAGGCCAGCATCATTTATTGAAGATGCTCTCCTTTTTCCATTGTATATTTTTAGCATCTTTGTCAAAGATCAAGTGTCTGTAAGTGTGTGATTTTATTTCCGGGTCTTCAATTCTATTACATTGATCAACCTGTCTGTCTCTGTACCAATACCATGTAGTTTTTTTATCACTATTGGTCTGTAGTAGAGCATGAGGTCAGTGCTGGTGATTTTCCCAGCCATTCTTTTATTGTTAAGAATTGTTTTCACTATTCTGGATTTTTTGTTTGTCTGTTTTTGTTTTTATTTTTTTGCCTTTCCAGATGAACTTGAAAATTGCTTTTGCCATGTCTTTGAAGGGTTAGGGTTAGGGTAGTTGTGTTGGGATTTTGTGGGGATTGCATTGAATCTGTAGATTGCCTTTAGTAAGATGGTCAATTTTATTATGTTAATTCTGCCTCTCCATGAACATGGGAGAAGATTTCTCCATTTTCTGAGATCTTCATTTTCTTTCTTGACAGACTTGAAGTTATTGTCCTACAGATCTTTCCCTTGTTGGTTAGATTTAGGCCAAGATATTTTACATTATTTGTGGCTATTCTGAAGGGAGTTGTTTCTCTAATTTCTTTCTTAGCGTGTTTATCATTTGTATAAAGGAAAGCTACTGATTTATTTGAGTTAATTTTATATATGACCACTTTACTAAAGTTGTTTATCAGCTGGAAAACTTATCTCATATAATTTTTGGGGTCTCATGTATACTATCATATCATCTGCAAATAATGATACTTCTAATTTTTCTTTGCCAATTTGTATCCCATCTTCTTAAACCGTGTTGAAAAGGTAAAAGTGTTGGTGTTTTGTGTGCACATTAAGTGTAGAGTGGTATTCAGTTAATTTCTTAAATAATAGTTTTCCTTCTTTGAATTCTTCATATATTTTAAATGTATTACAATCCAAGAAATGTATCACATACACTCTCTATTAGTGTCTACCGATCTTTCTGTGAAACTCATGCCCCCTTTCATTGCCCTTAGTAAGTCACAAAACAAATAGTACCCTTCAAATGTTCATATGTGTGGCCATGACTAGGGTACAACCAAAGTGCCAGTAGTAATTTCTGTTAGGATAATATCTCCTAGGATATATCAGTTGACATTAAATAATTTTCATAAAGATATATAATTTCTAACTTGTTGCCAGGTTGTTAGTTATTTATGGCAATTTTTCTTCCTTATTCAGGGCAACTGCAATGCTTGTTGGGCATTTGCTGTGACTGGTGCCATAGAAGCACAGGCAATCTGGCAAACTGGAAAACTCACCCCTCTGAGTGTGCAGAACCTGTTGGACTGTTCTAAACCTCAAGGCAACAATGGTTGTCTTGGGGGTGATACATACAATGCCTTCCAGTATGTTTTGCACAATGGCGGTCTGATGTCCGAGGCAACATATCCATATGAAGGGAAAGTAAGTGGACATCCTATGCTGTTATTTCAACTCAGCTTAGAGTATGGGACAATTGTAGAGATAATCAACCATCTTCAGAGTCCAAATTACTTGGTAGAATTACTATGTATGTCATTAACTTGTCATTAGTTTTTCAATATTTGTATACCTTTCTGATGAAATTATTTTGGTGCATCTCTATTTTCTTCTATGAACATGAAGAATATGCAATCTACTGTACATATAATATAGATTTTCCACCATCATAATTTCTCATAGATAGGAAGATCAATTCATTGCCATTGAAGATATGCAAACTAATTTTCAGTTCTAAATCTTTCAGTAGCATTTCACTTCCTGTAATTATTTATTGCCACCCAGACTTTAAGTGTGTTCAGCTTCAAAGTACAGAGTGCTATGGTTCTGACTCTTGTTCTCAAGAAGGTGATTGAAAGTAACCGATTATCTTATTTGTCTTTTAAAGGATGGACCATGCAGGTATAATCCAAAGAATTCATCTGCTGAAATTACAGGATTTGTGTCCCTCCCCCAAAGTGAGGATATCCTAATGGTTGCTGTAGCAACCATTGGGCCCATCTCTGCTGGAATTGATGCTTCACATGAGTCTTTCAAGTACTATAAGGGAGGTACACATGTTTACTTCTATATAAGAAAAAACTAATGACATACCTATGTTACAACATAATTATGGATTGGCATGTGTGTATACATGTGATGCAAATATTTGGGCTTCTGGATTTTATTCTTCTTCATAATTCACCTGATCTTGTCACACATGCAATTTAACATGTTAAAATTTATAAAATGTATTGTTTAGCTAAATTTAAATTTTCCTTCATTTGATAGATATTTTAGATATCTATAGAAACTGATTATCTGAAATTAAAATATAACAGAGCCTCTTGTAGTGAATAATTTACCTTCTGCAAATTAAACATGTCATGAGATTCTAATAACAACAACAAAAAATACACAAAATTCCTAGGATTTATATCATAAGCACATAGAAAAGTGTTTATCAACAAATATACCCTAATTAAAAGTTCTTCAGTTTTCTGTGAAACTCTATATATCTATGTTTTTGATATCAATTCAACCAGCCCTTTATTCTGATTGTAGTTTGTGTCATTTCACAATTTTTGAAAATGCCTTCTTTGAAAATTGTTGGTGAGAGTGCTCACTGTCAGGTAACATGTGCATTTCACTTCAATCACCTTTTATTTTACTTCTCAGGTATTTATCATGAGCCAAATTGTAGCAGTAATTCTGTGACTCATGGAGTTCTCGTGGTTGGTTATGGATTTGAGGGAAATGAAACCGATGGTAATCACTACTGGCTGATCAAGAACAGGTATAAATTGCCAAAATTGTATATTTGAAGTTCCAAGACCTAGAGACCTGGTTCAGTGGTTAAAAGCATTGGCTAACGTTTCTGGGGATTATTGAAGAAATTTTCTTGTTGCAAGTCAGTGGTTGGATACACTGCCAGAAAATGTTTGTTTCATTTAAGTTGAATAATAGTTGTTCTTGTTTTCTTATTTACACGTGGGAAGTTGGTATACATGTGTACATGTTTTCATGTCTATGGATACATGTGTATGTAAGTACATATGTGTAGAGGTCTGATGTTAGCATCAGTTATTTTCTCAATCATCCAAAATTAAAATTGAGGCAGTATATCTCACTGATCTAGGAGTTCACTGACTAAATTGGTTACCCAGCTTCGTCTGTGTATGTCTTGTCACCATGTCCTGAGAACTTGAGTTACATGCATAACAAAATGTCAGTTTCACTTTAATGAGGCTCTTGAATTTATCTCTAGTCCTTACCCTCTAAGGTTTTCTATACCTTTCACAACCTACTCACAATGTACAATCCTAACATTCAAATTCTGTCACCTGTGTTTTGTGTGCCAATGTCATGTCTGTGCCATTGTTTTTCTAAATGATGACAAGTTTGTGAATTCTGAACCATGAATTGGTAGAGAGCCAGTGTGCTCATTCTCTGTCGTTGTGTTGCAGTCCTATGTGAGGTGCCTCTTGGAATCCAGGAGTAGACCCTTTGTCTTTTCTTATATATCTGTTAAGTTGCTCACTTGTCAATTATTAAAATAAATCCAACACACAGTGATCTTGTCTACTGAATGGAAAACATACTTTTTTTTTCAGTTGGGGTAAAAAATGGGGCATTAGAGGCTACATGAAGATCGCCAAAGACAAGAACAATCACTGTGGAATTGCTTCATATGCTCACTACCCTACTATTTGAGCAGTCTGATAGCCACAAAGAGGCATTTGTCAGAAGACAGCATCTCTAGTGAGAGCTATCTACTTGTCAGTGACCAGCATTTGCTTGGAATATTCAAGTTCTGTGTCCCTGAAGAGCTACACTGTAATGTGAATTATGTGACCCTTCAACTATTTCAACATTATGAACACTAATGTTCTAACTAATGTATGTTTATTATTCCTGCACAAAATTTCAGTTTTACTGATTGAGCAAAAATAAAATGCAAATATCATTCCTAGGTCCTTTCTCTTTACTAAAAAACAAACTTTTTGTGGCCATACTTGCAATTTCTCGTGAACTCAAGAATTAATGGTACCATGGTGTTCATAAGGTTGTAGGTAGATCCATGATGATGGATCATATTCCATCATTGGATTTTATTTGCTTATAGGGTTCTATTAGTCCTTCAGAAACCTTGCTCTGAAAGATTATTTGATAATTTTTGAACTTAACATGTTTGGCTGACATAATTTCATCCAGTTTCAATTCTTGGCTTATTTGTGCAGTGCTTTGGCATCATGTGCTCCTCTAGTGCCTAATGCTGGGCTGTGACTCTCCATTTTCTATCACTTTGACACTGTAGTTGAAGCACAAAATAAAAACTTCAAAATAGACTTGTTAAGTAGTATAGTATTCCTTAAAGAAGAAGTAAAGAAATTCCTAAAGACAGAAACAGTGAATGGAAATGAATAAAATAGTTCAATGTTGAAGATTAGAAATAGAATAAAAAAAGAAAATCCAAACTGAGGGAAATGGAAAATGAAAATTTTAGGTATTCAAACACAAACCTCTGAAGTCAGATTCAATAACAGAATATAAGGGACTAAAGAAAGAGTCTTAAGTAATTGTAAACAAAGCAAAAGAAATGAACCTTAATAAAAGAAAATGTTACATTTAAAACATTCCAGACACAAGCAACCCATGGAATATGGGACACTATGCAAAGACCAAATCTTAGAAAAATAGGAATAAAGACAAAAGAAGAAACCCAGATCAAAGGTACAGAAATAATTTCAACCAAATGATGAGAAAATTTTCTAACTTAAAGAAGGAATTGCCTGTCAAGGGACAGGGTGCAAGTTTAAAGAACTGTACAGACCAACACAAAGAAAAATTCTTCTTAGTAAATAATAATCAAAACAATAAGCATACAGAACAAAGAATCAATATAAATATATGCCAGTAGAAAAGACCAAGTGACATATACAAACAGGTCTATTAGAATAACAGCTGATTTCTCAATGGAGACTCTAAAAGACAAAAAGGCCTAGGAAGTTACTCTATCAACTTCAAGAGAGGACAGATGCCAGTGCAGACTACTTATATCCTGGAAAACTTCCAATCATAATAAACGCAGAAAAAAGACATTTTATGATAATTCCAAACTTAAGCAATATCTATCTAAAATCCTGTCCTATGGAAGGCTGTAAAAGAAAAACTTCAACCTGAAGAGGCCAAAAACACTAAAAGTGACCATCTGAGACATTAATATTTACTCATCAAACACACAGAAAGGAGGTTCATAAAAAAACTGTTACATCTTAAATTTCATATTTAACACAACTTTAAGGTCCCACTACTACCAATAGACAGCTATCCAGATAAAATGTAACATAGATAGATTGGAATAAGTGATGGCATAAACCAAATAGACCTAAGACAGAACATTTCTCCTAAACACAAAAGAAAATAACCTTCATCTATGCACGTTATGGGAATTTTTCCAAAACGGAACACATTCTCAAACACAAAACAAGTCTCAAAAGATTTTTTTTGCGTGAAAAAAAAAAAGAAATTGAAACAACCCAGTGCATCCTATCTGATCACTGTGGATTAAAGGAGAATATCAAGAACAGCAGAAACAATAAAAAGCTATGAAACTCATAAAAACTGAAAAACACAATGAAAGCGGTGCTAAGAGGAAAATCCATACCACTGAGTACCTTCATAAAAAAATTGGAGAAAACTTACACTAGCAACTTAACAGCACACCTGAAAGCTCTAGAACAAAAAGAAGCAAGCACACCCGAGGGGCATAGAGGGCAGGAAAAAAATCAATCTCAGGGCAGAAATCAACCAATTAGAAACAAAGAGAATGAAACAAAAAATCAACAAAACCAAAAGCTGGTTCTTTGAGAAAATCAACAAGATAGATAAACCCTTAGCCAAACTAAGTAAAAGACACAGAGACCTTATCCAAATTAACAAAATCAAAAATGAAAAGGAGATTAAGAACAGAAACTGAAGATATTCAAAAAATTATCAAATCCTACTACAAAAACGTTTACTCAACAAAACTCAAAATTCTAGATGAAATGGATAATGTTTTAGACAGATACAACATACCAAAGTTAAATAAAGAGCAAGTAAACAATCTAAATAGTTCCATATCCTCTAAGAAATAGAAGAAGTCATTAAAAACCTCCCAATTAAAAAATAAGTCCAGGGTCAGATGGTTTTGGTGCATAATTCTACCAGACCTTCAAAGAAGAGCTAACACCAACACTCTTTAAACTATTCCATACAATAGAAACAGAAGGAACATTACCTAATTCATTCTATGAAGCCACAGTTACTCTGGTACCTAAACCACACAAAGACCCAACAAAGAAAACTTTAGACCAATTTAACTAATGAACGTCAGTGCAAAAATATTCAATAAAGTTCTGGCAAACCTAATCCAAGAACATATCAAAGCCATCATTCACCAAGTTCAAGTAGGCTTCATTCCAGAGATGCAGGGATGGTTCAATATATGAAAATCTATTAATTTAATCCACTATATAAGCAAACTCAAAGAAAAAACATGATTACCTCATTAGATACTGAGGAAGCATTTGACAAAATATAGCACTCCTTCATGTTTAACGTATTGGAGAGATCAGGAATTCAAGGCCCTTACCTAAACATAATAAAAACAATGAATAACAAACCATCAGCAGATATCAAAATAAATGGAGAGATACTTGAAGGAATCTCACTAAATGAGGGACAAGACAAGGATGCTTACTCTCACCATATCTACTCAACATAGTACTTGGAGTACTAGCTAGAGCAATAAGACAACAAAAGGAAATCAAGGGAATACAAATTTGAAAAGAAGTCAACGTATCACTTTTGCAGATGATATGATAGTACACATAAGAGACCCCAAAAAATCTACCAGAGAACTTCAATAGCTGAGAAACAACTTTAGAAAAGTGACTGGATATAAAATTGACTCATATAAATAAGTAGTCTTCCTTTATACAAATGATAAACAGGCTAATAAAGAAATTAGGGAGGCAACACTCTCCACAATAGCCACAAATAGTATAAAATACCTTTGTGTAACTCTTATCAAGCAAGTGAAAAATCTATAGAGCAAAAACTTCAAATCCCTGAAAAAAAGAAATCGAAGAAGTCCTCAGAAGATGGAAAGTTCTTCCATGCTCACAGATTGGTAGGATTAACATAGTAAAAATGGCCATCCTACAAATTCTACAGATTCATCCAAGTACTCATCAAGATTCCAAAACTGTTTTTCACAGACATGTAAAAAGCAATTATCAATTTCATATGGAAAAACAAAATACCCAGGATAGCTCAAACAATTCTTAACAATAAGAGAACTTCAAGCTGTACTTCAGAGCAATAATAATAAAAACTGCATGATAGTGATACAGAGACAGACAGGTCTATCAATGTAATAGAATTGAAGACCCAGAAATAAACCCACACAATTACAGAATCTTGATCTTAGATAAAGAAGTCCAAAATGTACAATAGAAAAAAGAAAGCATCTTCAATAAATGGTGCTGGTCCAACTGGCAAGCTATATGTGGAAAAATAAAAAAATAGATCCATATTCATCACCTTGCACAAAGCTCAAGTTCAAGTTGATGAAAGACCTCAATATAAAAACAGACACTCTGAATAGAGTAGAAGAGAAAGTGGGAAAGAGCCTTGAACTCATTGGCACAGGGGGAAATTTCCTAAACAAAACTACAATGGCTCATACTCTAAGATCAACAATTGATAAATGGGAACTCATAAAACTGAAAAGTTTCTGTAAGGCAAAGGACACTGTCAATAGGACAAAGAGACATCCCTCAGTTTGGGAAAATATTTTTACAAACCCCACATCTGATAGAGTGCTAATATCAAAACTATATAAAGAACTCAAGAAGCTAACCTCCAAATCAAAATAACCCAAATAAAAATGGGGTACAGAGCTAAACAGAATTCTCAACTGGGCAATCCCAAATGGCCAAGAAGTACCTAAAGAAATCTTCAACATTCTTAGTCATCAGGAAATGTAAGTCAAAATGACTCTGAGATTCAACCTTACACCAACCAGAATGGCTGATTTCAAAAACTCAGGGGGCAGCAAATACTGGCAAAGTTGTGGAGAAAGAAAAACACACCTTCATTGCTGGTGGGATTGCAAGTTGGTACAACCACTTTGTAAATCAATCTGCCAGTTCCTCAAACAATTGGAAATAGTTCTACCTGAAGACCTAATTATACCACTGCTGAGCATATACCCAAATGCTCCAACATATAACAAGGATACATGCTCCTTATGGGTTGTTTATAATAGCCATAAACTGGCATCAACCCAGATACTCCTCAATGGAAGAATGGATATAGAAAATGTGGTATATTTACACAACAGAATACTACTCAGCTACTAAAAATGACAACTTCAAGAATTTTTTAGGCAAATGGATGGAACTAGAAAATATCATCCTGAGGTAACCCAGACTCAAAAGGACATATATGGTATATACTCACTGATAAGTAGGTATTAACCCAAAAGCTCAGAAAGTCTATGATACAACTCACAGAGCATATGATGCTTAACAGGAAGGAAGGCCAAAATATAGATGCTCAATCCTACTTAGAAAAGGGAACAAGAGGACCACGGGACTCAAGATGAGGTTGTTAATTTATACAGGGTGTTTCCAAAACCCATCTCCACCCAACCTAAAAGGGGGGACTTCTGCCCCTAGACCAAGCAGAGAGGGGCCACCCAGAACCCCCTCTGACAGGCAATCTGAATTCTTGCTTAGGCTGCGAGGTTGAGCACTGCAAGGGAATATCAATAAAAGATAAAAATATCTCTTTGGGTTCCCTGAGGGACAAGCCTGACTGCATAGGGGTTAATGTCAAAAGTATCCCCTCTCCAGGAAAAAGACGTCGGGATGGGCATGGCCTTCATGCCTCACTGGACAATGACA